AAATTATGCTAATTGAGGGAAGCAAGACACAAAAGGCCATATGTTGCATGATTTTACTGATATGAAATATCCAAAACAGGCAAAGCAGATTTATGGTCCAGGGACTTAGGAGAAGAAAATGGAGAATGACTGCTTCATTGTTACAGGGTTTTTGTCTGAAGTGATAAAAAACATCTGGAATTCGGTCGTGTGATGGTTGTACAACATTGTGAATGGACCTAATACCAACAAACTATACACATTAAAATGGCTAAAATGGCAAATGTGTATTTTACACAATTTAAAAAAAAATAAATGAGGTGGTATTTTCCCTCTCCTCTGTATTCTGAAAGAGGTTGTGTAAGATTGGTATTGTTTCTTCCTTACATGTTTTATGGAATCCACCACTGAAACATCTGGCTTGGAGTTGTTGCTTTTGTTGTTAGCGTTGATGGTGATGGTGATGGTGTATGTATGTATGGGTTTTCTTACTTTGGATTTTATTTTTCTTTAACAGATATTGGACTACTCAGATTTGTCATTTCTTTTTGTGTTCAATTTTGCTAAATTTTGCTTTTCATAGGATTCACTCATTTCATCTAAGTTGTTGATTTTATTGGCTTAAAATTGTTTACAACATGCCTTTTCTTTAATGCACTTAACATCTGTAGTGATATACCTCTTTCATTCCTAATATCGATAATTTTTAATTTTCTCTCTTGATCAGCTTTGCTAGGGGGTAATCAATTTTACTGGCTTTTTAAAGAAAAAAAAAACAACCTTTGCTTTTTGTTGATTTTTTGTCTATTATGTGCTTGTTTTCTATTCCATTGATTCTTGTTCGTATTTTTATTATTTACTTTATACTAATTTGGGTTTAATTAGCTCTTTTTTCCCTAGCTTCTTAAATTGAAAACTGAGATCAATGATTTTAAATCTTTCTTCTTTTCTAATATACGTATGTAAAACTATAAATTTCTCTCTAAGCATTGTTTTAAGCTGCCTCCCACAAATTATGATAAGTTGTATTTTCATTATCATTCTTGTGTTAGCAAGACTAAAGCACCAGGAATGCTTGTCTGCTGATCAGAGTGTAAATTTATACAACCACTTTGGAAAACAGTTTTGCATTATTTATTGAAGATAAAGAACAAATACCCATATCCAAGAGATTCCATTTCTAAATATATATACTAGAGAGAATCTCATACACACAGTAATTAACTTACAAATAAGTTCATAGCAGCTATATTTAGTTGGCTAGGCTAAAATATGGTAACAAATAGAAAAAATATCAACAACTTAAGAAACGAGAAGTTTCTTCCAAGATCACCTTGAGTATAGAGGTTAGCAAACTTTGTTCATGGCCAAATCTCGTCCAATGCTTATTTTTGTAATTAAAGCTTTATTAGAATACAGCGATTTCCATTTTTTATGTATTGTCTGTGGATGCTTTCATACTACAATAACAGAGTTGAATAGTTACAACAGAAGCGCAATGGCCCACAAAGCTAGTATATCTACTAAGTGGCCCTGCCACAACAGGTCAGCAAGAAGTAGGAAGGTATAGAGTGCACATGGAAGGTTTTTATAGAATAGGCCTGAAATGGCACATAAAACATCTACTAGTTTTCTAGCCTCTGAGCATATAATATCCACTAGTTTTCCAGCGGCTGACATGGGGCTTGATCCCACAACCCTGAAATCATTAGCTGAGCTGAAACCAAGAGTCAGACACTAAACCAACTGAGCCACCCAGGCACCATGTGCACTTTTATTTTTAAAATGTGTATGTTGTCTTTGTGTGTGTGTGTGTGTGTGTGTAAACAGGTATGTAGTTTTATGAATATGCATAACTGTATGTAATTGTTGGTATACTTAATATGAAATCAAATTTTGTAGAAGAAATGAGTTTAATTAAAAGCTGATATGTAACTTCCCAGAAACTTAATAAGGAATAGCACTTAAAGAATTAAGAAAAAGGAATAAGCTTGTCCTATGTCTTAGACCAATCATTCTCAACTTTTTGGGGGTCTCATGCCTTTTTAGAGTTTGATGAAAGCTATGGCCCCTTTCCTTAAAGAGTAATGGGCACACACATTGTGCCTGCAGTTATGAGGGAGTCACATGTTCATGAAGTATATCCATGGATTCCATAGGAGTCCCTGGGCCCTCTGTTACAATTCTTTCTTTAAGTTGTCCTCATCAAATGTCAGTTATCCCAACTAAACTTTTGATAGAAGGATCAAAACAGAATAAATAAGACTAATGTTCAAGTCTTCTCTAATAGTGATTGCAGAGATAATTATATTCTTTCACTAGGCATATCTTCTTCCCTCACCTTACCCACAAGTCCCTCTCAGTTGTTTCTACTCCTGTTTACACATTTTAATTTCCCCTCACACCACCCAGGACTCTACCTAGACAATTGTAGTAGTAATGTAATGAGCTGCTTTACCTGCCTCCGTTCTCTCTGTCCCACTCCATTCCAAGGTCTGCCACAGAAGTAATCTCTCCAAAGACCAGCTTGGTTTTTTTAATTGGGTTTGTTGCTGCTGTGTTTTATTTTTGAGGCCAACTAGCACAGTGTTTAAGATTAGTTTGCAATACAAAGTCAAAACCCAGCCTCGTTCTTACTAGCTGTGTGATACTGGACATGCTGCTTGACCTTTCAGTTTCTACTTCCTTATCTATAAAATGAGGGCAATAATATAATTTAAGGACTGTTGGAAGGAATAATGAGATAATGCATATAAAGTGATTTAAAGTGATTAGCAAGGTACCAGGTCATAATGATGCTCAATAAATATTTCCTGAATATATTAAATATTTAGCCTCAGGGTTTTTAATTGAATGCTTTTGCTAATTCCGTGCTCCTTATTCCTTCCTATCAAAATACCACCTCCTGCATCAAATCTTCTTTAATCCTACAGCCATACATGATCTCTCCCACTTCTTAATTTCTCAGACTTGTTGTACTGTTTATTATGGGGGAATAGCCTAAAAGTAGAACTCTGGGATCAGATTATCTAGACATGAATATTGTCTCCATCACTTAACTAGCTTTGTGACCTTGGGCAGGTGATGTAAGTCCCCTATTGCTTATTTTACCTATCTGTAAATGAGATGTAAAAATAGTATCTATTGCAAAGGGGTTTTATGAGAATAAATATAACTAAATTCTAGAAATAGCAAAACTAGAGAGAGAGAACTAGAGGAGGGATAGGAACAAAACAGGAACTTTGGGGAGTGAGGAAATATCCTAAAATCAGATTGTAAAAAGAAATAAGTCAATCCCATGAAAAAATTTTTTAATTATTTATTTGAGAGGGAGAGCGTGCACAGGGAGGAGGAGCAGAGGGAGGGGTTAGGGAAAGGATCTCAAGCAGACTGGGTTGTGGTCATGCTTTCATAAGCTATATAAATTTACTACTATTTATCAAGCTGGTAAGTTTAAGATGGCTAAATTTTATGGTATTCAAATTATAATGAAGCTGTTTTAAAAAAAGATAAATGGTATATGGCAGAGGCCTAGAGCAGGACCAGGCACATACTAAGCATACCATATCTGTTAGCTGTTGTCACCTTATACTGCCTTGGGTTATTTGTGATTCTTCACCAGGTTGTTCAGAGTATCTCATGTTCTTACTGTCCCATCTTCTTTACCGTCCCCTAAACTAACTCTGAGCTTAATCCTGACACCAGCCCTTGCCGATCATTAGGTACTTGGTAAATATTTACTGATTGGTGCACTGCATGTACTGATGGAGTTTGTGTCTAGTATGAAAATATACTGGTTTGGGTTCAGGGTTCCATGGGTTTGTGTATACAAAGAAGACTGAATTGTGGATTTCGGTAGCTAGTCTTTTACGTCTATACATAATAGAGAACAGCCAGTATTGAGTATAGCTTTTGAATACCAAGGATCATGGTGACTATTTTGATGCTAATCTCTGCACATAGAAGACTCTTGCTTTCTCTGGGTCTGATTTTTCTCTGATAACACTGAGAAAGGGTACCATTCCCAGAATATAGAATACTATATTCTTGGCATTTGAGGGTCTGGTATTTTCAACACACCAAAGCTGTCTTCATGTTATTTGAATAGTTACACTTCCCTTGAAGAAAGAGTAAATCTTCCCAAATAATTTATTTAAGCAGCCTGGGCTGTAGTTTTCCAGGAACCAGAAGAAAATTGTGAGTGAGATTCTTACAGTCTTGCAAGAAAAAGACAGGGATGTGTTGTGTTGTTTGGCAAGTAATATTAGGAAGGAAGAGGAGAAGGAGAAAATTATTATTATTAGGAATAATAATTAGAAAATAAACAAAAACAAAAAAAATCTTTCTGCCCATGCCATCTTATTTAGCACTGTAGAGGAGAAAAATAATTATTAACTGAACATTGCTGGTTAGAAAAGAGCAGAGACCAAATCAGCCCTGGAATGGGTAGGTGAACATCTTTTCCAATCAGACACTTGTTTTAGCCCAGTGTACAGGCCTTGAAAGAAGCATTCAAGATTTATGTCTGCCTTGAAAGTTTTAGGGGTAAGAGCAGTTTAACTTGGGGGATTTGGAGGTACAAAGTGCTGGACTCAGAGAAACGAAATATGTTTCCTTAGAATGGTTAAAGGGAACAAAATAAAGCAATCTACCTTCTTGGTCATTTTCACAGTAAACTCAAACCAGCAGGAAGATGACAGGCCATCAGGTTTAAAAACAAAATCAGTAGCCAGTCTGTTATTGCACAGAGGTACTTTTTTTAAACAAGATACTGTGGATCTCTGATTTTACAAAATCAAAACAACCCACTGAGTTTCCCATCTGCCATTGTTTCATTTCAGAGGGAAAAAAATAGCTTATTTTTAAAGCTTAGGGATTTTGGAATGTCTAATATATTGCTCAAGGGGAAGGCTCCATAGCTCAGGGGTTAGAGCACTGGTCTTGTAATATATTGCTCAGAATGGACTTTTCCATTTCCTTTTATTGAATGCCCAAATTAATTCCTTTTATTGTTCATACAGGAACAGTGGCAGGAGTTAGAAAAGATGCATCCACATCTCCTATGACGATAGGAAGCCAAAAGGAGCTTGGAATCACAAGCTCATCAGCACTGCAGCAGGACACTTCTCGGTAAGCCTCAGGGACTCTTTGGTTTAACATTCTCTAGGTAAGAGCCTTTTGGGGGGCAGGGAGTCATTTAATAAGGAGTGGAAAAGTCTTGACAGTTCTTAAGAGCTGTTACTCAAGAGAGAGGCCTTCTTTGGAAGCATCTAGATTTGGCCAGGTGATCACGTGGAGCTCTTTCCTTTACCCATGCCTCACCTTAATTGAAACTGGTAATTGGCAAGGATTTCCAGAAAAACACAAAGCGAATCCTATCTTTCATCAGAAAATGTGCTTCACAGCAGGTCTTTCCCAGTTTGTTGCAAAATTGTTATGCACTTGGGACTTTAACTAATTGAATTCATTGATTCTGAAAATTATGGTGGGTTTTGTATTACAGTTTTAAAGGACTGTCAACATTTACGGATACCAGAGACATTTGAAGAGTTAAGAATTTGCTCAGACTTTTCTGGAGTCAGGAAAAGAAATACATTATTAAAATTTTTTCACATCCAATAAGCCACCCACCTATTAGGCATTTAAGGCTGATTATATAAACAGCAGCACCGAATGGGCTTAGTTTCAGCTTTCTTGGGAATGTGCTTGTTTGAGCACTTAAATTCCCAGCATCTTATCAGATGAATGTAGATTTCAAGACTTAATTTTAGTTATAAAGAACTTTTGGGAAATAACCCTAACACAGAGGACAGTAATGACTGCCATCTATTAGGCACCTACTGTGTGTCCACCCTTGTATGGACTGTCTGATTTAATCTTCATCAGAGCCTTAGGAAGTGGTACTCCTATCATTCTCATTTCCAGAATTAGGAAACTAAGAGATTGAGTGACTGGCCTAAGGTCACATAGCTAATAAGACGTAGAACTAGCTTTTCAGACTCCAAAGCCCATTATCTTAAATACTATAGTAATTGACAATAACAACCTCCTTATTTTGAAGGTGACCCACAAGCCAAAAAAAAATTTATCTAGTTTACCGCGTTCTTTGTCTATTACCCCTTTCTTTTATTTTTAATGCTGCCCTTATTAGCATTTTCCAAGTACCCACATTGAGCTGTCAGTTCTGAAATGTTGAGGGTGGGGGGTCCCTCCTTGCACTACTCAGCATTGTGGCTGAATGCTTGTGCTCAAAGAGGATCCATCCCAGTCACCTTGAGGGCTTCCTCTGGAGAAGTTACGGGTGAAGAGGAGAAATGATCTGGATTTTCAGTCTTAGTGAATTTTCCTATTGAAGATTAAAGCGAGCTCTTTAACGCTACTTTAATGTGTTTTTGATTATTGCATTTCAGTTTAGAGAGAAGCATGAAAAAGAATAAAATGTTTCCCCAGTAAGAGTTTTGTAGAACATTCTCAGCACACATTTTCTGAATGGACCATATCAACTTCGTACAGTTTTACAAGCCCACGTTAGAATTGCTGTGAAGACTCATATTTATGGACCTTAAAAAGGAGATTCTGTATCAGTTAGTTCTTAATACTGCAAATCAGCTAAATATAGATTTGCAGAAGTTTCATAAATAATGAGTACTTGGCTAAATAAAACAATGTGTAACACACTGGATTTCATCCTTAGAAGTGCACGGTGGCATATTATAGGTTTATTATACAAAGTGCAGTGTTGAAAAAAAAGATTCAGTACTATGAAAATCAGTTACCAGGAGGGCACAGTGGTTGCTTTCCAGATTTCAGAATCAGGATTATTTGAATTATTCTTATTTCAAAGTGTTGAAAAGGCATTTTTTATAGACTACTTTTCAGTTACGTGCAGACTCTTAATGCAAGACAAAACTCTGTTTATTCTTCATCCCAACAAACCTTTGAACGTACTGAGAAGAGTAAAAGCCTATCCACCTTATATTCCCAGAATTTTCCAAACTTAGAAAACAGGATGGGGGTGAGACAGATGGTGGTGGGAAATAGGTTTTCCTTTGTTCTCTGAAAAGTATTAACGCCTCGAAGAGTCCCATATTGTCCCACACGGTGATAAAACCAGGCGTGGCAAAGTCATCTTTCTCATTCACAATGTGGGCTGTTAATTGTTCTCTCTGCTGCCTGTCAATATAATGTGAAATTTTCATTCCCCATTCAAGATGGGAAAAGTTGTGGCTGAAAATGTTAACATTTGCATTTTTATTTGTTGATTTATTTAAAGGACAGCCTCTCCCGCAGCAATCCATCACTTGGTGACACCCCAAATATGAATAATGTATTGTAGACTTGCGGTTACAGTGTGTAATAAGTGCTAGAGACAGTAAAGGAATGTTAACTATGTTGCAAATGTAATATTTATTGACTCATAAAGTTTATTGCTTTGGAGGTTCAATAATACTGACCACAGGCCATTAATATCACTTATCCTGATTTTAGCTGGGCACCTTTATATGTAGAAATATTCATCTAGCTCATGCTAACAAAATAAATAGGTAATTTACAGCACAAGCAAAGAGGGCTTTATAGGTTTCTGTGCTGAGAGCTGCCGCACTTCTTTCTCTTCATTCACTTCTGGCCTCCAGCACTGATCACACACCCCTGAGCTGTCCGAGGGAGAAACCACAGTGCTCACACTGGCACAAGAGGATGGAGCTGCTGAACCAAACAGGGCCATGCATTTCTGCTTGCCTAAAACAGGCAACGCCTCCCAGAGCCCCATCACCTGGGCTTTTCTCCCTGTCATTCTGAACACCTGGTGAGGAAGTGCACCTTTGAGCGGAAAGTTCAACAAAGGCTTCTCCTGCCAGGACGCTGGGTCAGAGTTTACAGATTCTACTGGGTCCTCTGGTCTCCAAGGTGAAACCAGAACTGGTCAGGTTGCCAGTTAATTTGTTGTGAGCACAGCTGTTACTGATAATTAACCCTTTTGTACCTTCCAGAATTAGGTATGTCCATTGCCAGCAACAAAGATCAGACAGGAAATATCTGACACCCAAAGCAAAAGAAGTAATGTTAATTAGCAACCATCAGCTGTAATTGTCATTCCCATTAAGATGCAGAATTATGTATTTCTTCATTATAAATAACCTTTCTAATTGTACTTGATGTATGCCAATTTAATCAAAAAGTATACTTGCAACAGACCGATATTTGCATTAATGTAGCTTTGGATCTTCAAATCTTTTATTTCAAATTTGGGGAGAAAAAGCATAGTACAGCTGTATATCCTTTATATGTGGGGATCTTTTTCTATCTGGGTTTGGAGATCTAAAACATTTTTTATTAAAATGAAGACAGTATCTTCTGGGATTGTTCACTGAAACAGAAATCTTGTCACTTTTTAAAATACCAGTAAATTTCTATCTTCCAGTCCAATGACAGCTCAGTGGTAATTGTTCCAAACTGATAAACAGAGGCAAATACCAGGCCTGCGGCACCAGGATTATGTTCTGAGGCCCCGAAGTAAAATGTTACTAAGGCTTCTTCTCTCTCTTGTCCCCTGATATGTGAGAGTTAATGCTGTTTCTCTTGCCCTTGTGTGTGTGTGTGTGTGTGTGTGTGTGTGTATGATGTGAAGAGAGAAAAGCAGATCTCACCAAAGCATACCAAATTACTGAATTTGGGGAACTGGAGATAGAGTTGGCCTATTTCTGGGTTGTACTGCTCACCTCTCTACTCTAGCTTTTTTCAAAAAGGTTTTTCACCACAACACAGAGTTGGAAATTTTGCTTTTTTTAGAGAGGGCATGTGCTCACCTGCATGTGGGGAGGGGCAGAGGGAGAGAATCCCAAGCAGAATCCTCCCACCCCTGCCCCAAGCGCAGAGCCTGACACAGGACTCGATCACATGACCCATGAGATCAAGACACAACCAGAAGCCAAGAGTCAGACACTTAACCGCCTGAGCCACCCAAGCACCCCCAGAGTTAAAAATTCTTGTTTTCTTTCATTTTGTTGGTTTTTTAGACGTGTTGGGAGAGGGATGATTTTGTGGAGCTTGCTTTTTGTTGAAGGAGGTAAGAAAATATTTAAGTATGTATTTTCAAAGATTTAATAGCTTATTTGGTGGCTTTTTAAAAAATAGCCTAGGGGCACCTGGGTGGCTCAGTGGGTTGAGGCCTCTGCCTTCGGCTTAGGTCGTGATCCCGGGGTCCTGGGATTGAGCCCTGTGTCTGGCTCTCTGCTCAGCAGGGAGCCTGCTTCCTCCTCTCTCTCTGCCTGCCTCTCTGCCTACTTGTGATCTCTTTCAAATAAAGAAATAAAATCTTTAAAACAAAACAAAACAAAAAAACAATGTTTTTTAAAAAATAGCCTAAAAAATAACTTAATTTGATCTTTTTTTAAAGACTGTGGTTCTTTGCTTTCAAACTATATGCTTAATTGTCCTGAAAACTTTGCTGTAAGTTTATAACTTGATGAGCTCTCCATAGTGCACATGCTTGTGCCATCATGCTCACAGACATCATCGCCTGTTTGTGCACGGCAGATCTGAAGCTTGTAGAGACTTGCTGTCCATTGAGGTTGAGACTCAGGGACCACGCTCAGAATATTGGAAAATTGGGACCTCATTACACTAATCCAGGCTGGAGAAATCCAAGTACCCTGCAGTCTAGAACTTAAACTTCTGTCTTGAAAACTGTATTTTTCTGTGTCTTTGGAAGAATGTCTGTCTCTTTAGATCCTCTGCCTATATTTTATTCAGACTGGTTTTTTGGTTTTGACTTGCTATTGAGTTGTAAGAGTTCCTTATATATTTTGAATATTAACCTCTTACTAAATAGTTTATAAATATTTTTTTCAGTTTGTGATCATTTCCTTTACAGTTTGATGCAGGTCCCATTTGTTTTTACTTTTGCTTTTCTTCCTTGAGCTTTCAGTATCTTATCCAAAAAATCATTTCAAAGACCGGTGTCAAGGAGCTTTTTTTTTCTGCTTTCTTCTAGGAATTTTACAATTCCAGATTTTATAATTAAGTATTTAATCCATTCTCAGGGTTTTCTTTTTTAATATCATGAAAGATGAGAGTCCAGTCTCCTTCTTTTCCATCTGAATATCCAGTTTTCCCAGAACCATTTATTG